ATGCATTGAAGCAACTGCCATGTGATTGGTTGATTAGATAATTGCATTAATGAGAAATTGAACAGGTGTTCCTAATAATCCTTTAGGTGAGTGTATGTTGGATACGTGCCCTCTCCCAAATAATGAAATTATCTTTCACCCACATCACCACAGAGGAGGATGAGAAGAAAGAGACATTAAAGAGGCAGTTGTGCTTGTAAAATAAAAGATTTAGTTAAAATCTGCTATAAGATTTTTTTCTTTAGTCAGGCATTAGGTCACTCAGCTCTGCCATATGACTACATGCACATTTCAATGTCAGAGCCACGTCAGACATATAATTTATATTTCAGGATGGTGGGCAGAAGGAGAATATCGAGAATGTGCCAATATTATGCATTACTTGATCTAGTTTTTACTCTTGACTTATTCATATGTGTGCTAATTTGACGGTGAAATCCAGGGTAGACCTTAAACCTTTTCGTCACGAGTTCCATACTGCAGATTAACCTCCATACAAACTTCTATAGTCTGAAGACCACAGTCAAGCTAAGATGCATCTGCAGGATCTGAAGCTTGGACTCCATCTCACCGATGTCAGTGATGTGGAAGCTGAGGCTCTCACTCTCCTCTCCCAGACTGTTGGTCGCCCTAACCGTTATGTTGTATACCGTCTGGTCCGGCTCGGCTTGGAAAGAGCAGTGGTTGCATGTGCCCTGGATTTCTTTGATGGAGTTCCTGTAAAATCCAAGGGAAGACAGATGGCATACACAAATTTAGTATGATTTTTACAACTAATGCAATTCTCATTTTCCAAAAATGAGTTTTTAACGCTCCTTATATGCCTTCAGCTAGATGTCCGTACCAAAGTGGTACACCTCACTTTACTGCAGTATCTTGGTTACTCACACTATTTTTGGCATTATAGATGCATACTTGCACCAAAGAACACAGCTGAGTAGAGATGCACTTGAACTGAAAGAGTATAAGTGAAGTAGTACTCCCTGTAAAATCAGGGTGTAGTACTCACTTAAAATCAGGGTGTAATACTCACTGTAAAATCAGGTGCAATATTTATTGTAAAATCAGGGTGTAGTCAAGACTGGTACAGTAATACTCACTGTAAAATCAGTGTGTAATACTGTAAAATCAGGTTGTATCTGAGACTGTGTGGCTGGTAGAGTTATACTCACTGTAAAGTCAGGATGCAATGGTACATGAAGCTATAATTCAGGCTGTGGGGTGTGTCAGAGTCCCAGTAACAGTTCACATGCTCCATCTCATGTGTCTCACATTTGATGTTTCTTGGTTTCTGGGGAGGGACTACATTAAGGGAGTAATATAATTATTACAATAAAATAATCATTTTATTGCCCTTTGTGACAGAATGCTTCAGTGCTTTAGGACATAAACTGCAAAAGAAGTAAAGCATTATAAAGTATTATGAAGTAATATAAAGTATGACCCAGGACACCGTTACTCTGTACTGGATAAGTGACAATAGAACATGGATTGATATAAAAAAAACAAAAACATACAGTATAACTTTGGTCTTTCATGCAAGCGGTCCAAAATGCAATACTTACATGACACAAAGTTCAGAGTAAATGTTTTTTGTGCATTGGAGTCCTCACACGTAGCAAGAATCCCATATTCATTGGTGTGATTAAGGTTATTCACAATGATCCCATAGACTCCCTTGTCAATTGAGGAAACTTGACGGGAAATATGCTTAAAAGTGAAGTCTTTTATTTCTCCTCTTCTTGGAACGATACAGCAAAAATGACCGGAAGACCCCTCCTGAAGTAGCTAGACAACAAGGGATATTGTTAAACATTATTACTACTATTACTGCTACTACTGCCATAACAATTATGATCATAATCATATGGATACCTCTTCAAAAGGGAATATCTTAGGCTTGTCATCTGGCGCCTGTACACCTGCAGATTTAGAAGGGAGATGGATGTGAGAAATAACTTTGGATCTGTATCACAACGACCTGAGGAGTGAAGCACGGCACAGATGATCACTTATAACAGTGTTTCCCAACCCGGTCCCTCAGGGACCCTCAGTCAATCCACTAACCCTAACCCTAACCCTGCCAGACCGTCCACATTTGGCAGAAGCAAGAACATGGATCGGCTGGGCGTCCCCGAAAACTGGGTTGGAAAAAACACTGCCTTATAACAACCCTGAATGTGTTCTGGTGTTCCACCAACTCCCCCCTCCAGTATTACAACCCAATCGGGTTGCAAATTTGAACAACTGACCTATGAAATAATAGAGCGTTCACTAAACTGAAAGCTTAAATCTAACATCATCCTTGCATTCTATCTGAAGGCTGCTAATTGGTCATAGGGGATGTGGTTTAACGTCAGGCGCCTTGATGTGCCACCACCAGACTGTCAATGTGTTAGCTAGTGGTCCGTCAGAAAGTGAGGCTTCCAGTCAAAAGGCTTTAAAGTGCCATGATGGGGACTGTGAGGAAGCCTAGAGGCAGTTGCCTTTTAAGCCACAGATAATTTGGTGGAGGCTCATGGGTAAAAAATGGAGGTAAGAGGATGATGCCCTTTATAGTATCACAACAGTGAGTTTTCCAATTAATTTTTCCATGGATTTTTTTTTATGAAAATATCATTTTAGTAATGTAGTTATTTCAAAGTTACTTGTTTCATAGTTTAAAAATACAGGAGGTACTTACTAAATAAATGAGATGTAAATATAAGCTGATATATAAGCAGTACTGTAGGCAGTGGCTGAATGGGTTGCAGTGTTCCCTGTGGAAGCTGAAAAGGCCCAAACTCCAAAAAGTCACTGACACCAGGTGGAAAAAAACACACCAGCGCGTCTCCAAGTTCCTTTTTTTATTTCGCTTGATCGATCGAAGGGAAAGTCTTTCCCAATCCTGGGAATAGTGTCTCTCCCCCTTGTACAACCCCTGAGTCCTGGATTATTTCTCTTATTTTCTGTTAATCAACCACTTACCCTTCATATTGAACCAACATTGGTCTTCTTTGTCAAAACCATGCCGCCCCCCCCACCCCCCAGTGTCCCACGACCTTAGTCAGGCCATCACCACCTGCTCTGGGTCACGAAACCCCAGCAACACAATAACAAACGCATTTAACTTGGATCTTTACTCAGCTTAACAAGATACGTTTTATACAAATATAAAACAGTATTTGTTTATTTGTGCCAATTATTTATCATGCATAACCATTCACATATTTTAGACTTTTAAGATAAAGATCAAATGATACATTACAGGTTAAAAAAAAAAAGTGCACACGTATATCCTAGGACAAGCTCTGTAATTACAGCTGACAAGGTCGCCATGCTGAAGAATATCTTATTCAGTCTAAGGGCGTAACTTTGGCTGGAACACTGGGGGGGGTTGAGGTCTCCACCCATTATGGGAAAAAATTATTATTGGGGAGGGGGTTGTATTAGCTGGTTTTGATTTATTGGAGGGGCTACAACCCCCCTATCCCCCCCATAATTTACGCCCATGATTCAGTCGTTGGAAAGTGGAAGCTGACTAACGGAATGGGCCTATCAGAGCATGTGAGCGGAGCGGAGCGGTGAGGATTTCCGCTACTCGCTCACGAGGCTGTTGGCTCCGCCCGCTCCTCCGCTCTAATTCGCACTAAGCCGCTCCGCTCAACGCCGCTCCTCGCTCCACTAAAATGTCCTCCCGCTCCAGTCAAATCGCTCCACGCTCGCTCCAATTTAAAAGAGGAACAAATAATCTGCATGCCTAACAAATGTCACCTTAAACCGAAGCCTTATGTCATAAAGAAATATGAGCAACGGCAACATTGCCAGTCAGAACAGAAAATATTTATTTTTAAGCAACCTATCGGCAACAACGGACAGGTTTGGAAATGGCATTCCACACAAAAATAGGCTTAAAAATAAAGGAATCAGTGGGTTTAATAGCCTAAAGAATATACAGACACGTTTTAAATTCCTCAATTTTTTTCTGTTGATGCAGCACGTCTCTAAAATAAAATTTTACGTTACGTGAAATTTAAAAAAATCTTATTAGACCTACTTTGAATGACAAAACGAATTTATTTGATTACCAATATTTACTTTATAGGTTTTTATACTTTAATTTACTTTATAGACTTGATATGCTACAACCATATAAAACTTGCACGCGTTTTGCTCTGGCTTCCGCTTGTTCGCGTAGCACACTCATGTTTCTGAGAAAAGTGATTCCAAAGTGAATCTTTACTCACTGAAACAGTTTCACCACATTGTTGTTCTTGCTGTACATTCTTGTCATCTATACGTTTCATAAGAATAGTACACTTGTATGATTTATCAGTTTCCTTTGTGAAATACTTTGCGAATTCCATCTCGGCCAATTTGTGTAACAGTCTTGATAATTGTACAGATGAATTCTGGGTAGATTTGGGCACGCCTCAGAATTGTAGTGTGAGCGGTATCGGAGCGAAATTGGAGCGAGACAAAGCGACCGCTCCAGCCTTAACTAGAAAACCCGCTCCGCGCTCTGACCAAGTTCCGCCCGCTCCGCTCCGCTCACATGCTCTGGGGCCTATGTATTTTATGCAACTTTCTCCAAGCCGGTTTTCCTTGGATACGATATCAAGCTGTGCCAAATGGTTGCGAAATAATTTGATCTCATGGCGTGATTCACATCTACAAACCCTTACAAAATGCCAACCTGTAAAGCCAACAAAGAAGATGGTCAGGGTGACAAACGCCTAAATGCAGTAATCAACCCCATTAATAGCTAATATACAGTAATATAGGTCCTGTCAGCTGTTGTGACATGGTGGTTTAGCATTTTGGGCTCATGGCGACTGTTGCACATCCCTTTGTTTTCCAGATTACTTTACGTACGAATTTTAATGAATTTTTGAATGTTGTAATGTATCCGTATAATGTGCAATGGGACAAGGGTACGAGACCGGAGTAAAGTAAGCAGTGGGTTCGATATTCGCCAGACATTCACAGATCATCTTTGAATTTACTCTATTAAAACATTACAAAACAAAGTAAATTGCACATTCACAAATTCGTGTGTGTTTGTGAAATCACATGCACACCTTGGTTATTCAATTATTATATCCAGTAAATTGTGAAAAAGCAAAATAATGCAGCTCCTGGTGTGAATTAACGCGTTCACTTGGGTTTGACAGACCGCGACATTTCAAAATAAAAGTCCCACATTTAAAAAAGAAGTAGCTCAACAAACGATTATTACAAAACACATAAAAGACTTTAAAACGCTATTCCAATGTGGCACATACTTACAATAAATGACAAGCACATACATGGCCCACTAACACTCGTGAAACTGTAAATAGTGGTACAAGGTAACGTCCATTATTTTTCTATGCTGGTGGAACATTGACTATACTAAATTTGTGCCTGTGGTTAAAGTACACGAGTAAAGCTACACATATCATAGACTTTGACACTTGTGAAACCTGTAGAAAATTTGTGAAATTAACTTATATCACTTACTTCCTTTGGTTTCTATGCAGGTGGAACATACAGCATCCTATTGCTTCAAAACCAGAGAATGTAGCAACTCAGTGATTATATTTCTTGAGTATATATTTTTTAAACATTAAATTTAATTTAAGAAAATATATATTAATGTATTTAATGTATTGTTTTAAATTGTTTTAGCATTTTTTTGGTCTGAGTTGCAATGAGGACACACCCAGTCATCCGTCTTCTGTGAGAAATACTTCCAGTTTTTCACAGACAATGACAGGCATTTTTCATGAAACCAGTGATTGCACTGGCTACTATGAGAATTTCATTCTGCATACAGTGTCTTTCTGTTCTGCAATACAACTCCAGTTACAAAAACGCTGAGAAAATACGAATAATGCTTATGAAACAAAAGCACACATGTGAGATATTGAAAATACTAAAATAATACACTTGGGTCTGTCAAAACCCAAGTGAACGTGTTAATTTACACCAGGAGCTGCATTATTTTGCTTTTTCACAATTTGGAACTGGATAACTGGATATAATAATTGAATAACCAAGGTGTGCATGTGATTTCACAAACACACACGAATTTGTGAATGTGCAATTTACTTTGTTTTGTAATGTTTTAATAGAGTAAATTCAAAGATGATCTGTGAATGTCTGGCGAATATCGATCCCACTGCTCATTTTACTCCGGTATACAAGAATGGGTTAATAACTTTAAAATTAGACAAGACAGGCACATCTAGTGAAGTGTGCTTTGATCAGTGGACTACAGGGAACAATGCACACCCCTTGGATTTTATTTGTAATAGTTATTAATTATTATATTGCATCCATTTAAAGTGCAATGGGACAATGCACTACAGAGTTAATAGCTCTGAAACCAAATGGGACAGCCATGTCCTATAAAGTGTGCATTGATCAGGAGAACCTGGGGGACACTGCACACCCCTTGGATTTTCAAGATCACTTTCTGTCTAGCAGTTATTAATTAATAGATTGTATGAATATTACATGCCATTGGGGCAACACACTAAAGGGTTAATAGCTCTGAAACCAAATGAGACATATTTGGTGGCTCTGTCCCCAGTTGACATCTATTCATACATTTCCAGCATTCATGTAATGACTGTGGTATTTTTTCCCTCATAGGAGCTGGAACATAACTAGCAGATATATTTGGAGTTTCTGTGAATATCAGAGGTAGCTTTATAGAAACTGAAATAGTTTCCTTAACACGATTTTGCACAAATCACGAAATGGTTTGAAGCGCAAAAATAATCGGTGTGCATCGTTGTCTGTGTACTGGATATCACAATTCTGTGATTTAAAACTTCCCACATCACTTCCGTTAAAAGTTATTAAAGCCAGAAAACTGAATATCGAATATGAGGCTCTATGACAGACGCTTAATAACCGCGCTTCCAAGAACCCATCCTCCTCGTCTTCCAGTGTAGCTCAGTCTATAGTTGATCAGCTTGTACTGTAGGTAGGAGTTTGTTCACGGAATAAAGAAAACGCAGCAATATATGTAATGAACTTATGATTAAAAATACATCGATTTGCTCTTTTATAATACTGCTAGTAAGATATTGACCGATATTGATGCAAAATTTAAGTACAGCCATGCAAGTGCATCTTACCGGAGTTTGTTTTCCACTCGCTCCAGTTAGCGGCGAACGAATTGCTGAGGCGCTTTACTCTCACTGAATGGTCTGTGCATTGCAAAGGCCATTCTGAAATCCATTTCCACTGCAACAGTCCATCGCCGATGGGTTGATCGAAGTGTACTGTAGTCTAAGTTAATGGACAAACAGTTTTGCTTATAGTAATATCGGAAATACCTAGTTTTTAAGACATGGGATCCGCGAAGCACTGCTTTTATACCTTACCTCATTAACTTTGCTTAAGTTCTTCCCACGAACAGTCTGAATTCTGAAAGTGATATTGCTTTCCACATCGTCATCCAAGTTTATCCTCCACTTCACCGAAAGTTCCTGCCTCGCATTATTTGCAACTATGTCGTCGATGATCGGAGTCGAGTCTGGACAATTAACAAGCCAAAGACATTAAATGAATACGCGTAAAATCCATCGCAGAGTTTGTATTTATATAGAAAACTTGTAAAGAAACAAGGAACGGTTGTTTAGCTTTACCTTGTTTTAAACTCAATGTGTTCTTATATCCAGCTGCCAGTGCCAGAAAGAAAAGAAACAATCCCAAGTACATATCGATAACACCTTCTCTTACTACTAATATACTAATAAAAATGTGTATCAAATAGCATCACCGGTATATTAGGTGGAGCGACAGATGAACATCATTCATCTGACTTAAAAGGAAGCATTAGGGGAAAATCCGATTAGTTGCATAAGAAAAATTGCAAAATATGATCTCCGTGCCTTATATCTGTAGCACATAGTGTCACAATATACGTATCTAGCTCAATCTAATGACAAAAACGTCTGCGTGTATGTTTCATTTGCACGACGAAATATTGCGACATTTATTTGAAATGGTAGACCGACATGCTACAGCCATTGAAAAATCCTGTCAAAGCAAAGAAAATGTGAAGCACGTGCTAAACTAATATACCCTATCGAATTTCATGTATTGTTGTTATTCGTTTTCTTCTCGATGTTGTTAGAATTTGTAGTAGGTCTAATCGTAATAGTAGTCCTAGCAGCTTAGTCGCCTATGTTAGTGTCGTTATCTTTTTTGTTGTTGTTGTTTTTCACATGAACAATCTGCCACTGCAGATGATTTCAGAACCACTAAGGTACCAATGAGAAAATCTATTAGGATCCCAGCTGTCACATCTTACCCGTCATTGTCTGACACACCCTCCTGTTTTCCTCCCTGGAATGACTGTAACAAGCCACACCCAGTACTCATCAGTTCCTGCCCCCTTGTTAATCATTTCCAGCTGCCTTGCATTTCATCCCTTGTTAATCATGCATATAAGTGATCCCCAGGCCTGTGCTCCCTAGTCCCACCATTGTTGCCTGTTCCACACTCCTGGACCTGTTCCACACTCCTGGACCTGTTCCACACTCCTGGACCTGTTCAGTCCGCATAATAAACTCCTCTGCGAGGGTCTGCTTTGCACCACAGCTGTTTCTGGGTCGTGCTTCTTGTCTTGTCGTGACACCAACTGGGTTGGCAAAATTTATAGTGGGACCCACCCATCAGCAAAATTTATTGTGGGGAACCCCAAAGTCCCAGTGCCAATTTTTAATCCCAGTCCAGATATAGGCCTACCTATGTGCAGTACTTTTTTGAAAAACTAAAAAGTATCAGTGCAATAAAAATTAACCTATATTTATTGCCAGATTTCTCAACAAACAGGAAGAAACAACTCTACTCATGAGATTTTGCAGCACAATTGAATGAACTTTTACTGCCCAGCAAACATGGGAAATCTGCCAGATGTGTAGATTTCATCTATATTCATATTTAGATTTTGAATGTATTCTATATTGCCAGTATGTGTGAACATGCCAGAATAATTTGTGATCTACTGTCAAACATGGAATACAGAATAATTACAAAACATACAGAAGAAACACGTCAAAGAGCACTGAGCAAAAAATAGGAATACAAATAACAGTACACAGGTTAACAGAAGACACAGCGCAAGACATCATAAGACAATAAGTTGAACATTAGAACTAGTGCAGAAACCATTTTAGTACAAGTTGAAAGGATATTGCTGGTATGTTGTGAAGGAAAGATGTCAGACAAGAGGGGAATGGTCTCTGGGTGAGTGGATTGCACCCTGGGTGATTACTGAGGTACTTGGTGAGTTTATTTAGGAGCTAGATAGCTATGGGGAAGATGCTGTGGAGATGGCTTGAGGTCCAGGTTATGATGAACTTGATGGCAGTTTGGTGATGGGGCAACTGCCTTGGGGAGTGAAAACAGGAGCCATCTTCCCAGCTCTCTCCTACGCCCTGGCTGTGAACAGGTCTTATACTGTAATGTGATTTTCTCAGTTGACCAGACCACTTGTTGTAACCTGATCTTGGAGAGGGTGGAGGCAGCAGGAAACCAGATGGTGATGGAGGATGTCAAGATGATCTCCGTAATGGCGATGCATCAGTGGGGTGCATTGGGAGACATCGAGCTTTTTGAGTTGGCATAGGACCAACAGCCTTTTCTGCCTTTTTTTGGTGATGGAGGTGATTTGCACATCACACTTCAATGTTTTGGTGATTGTGTTCCACAGGAATTTGAAATACTCGACCACAGAATGGCCTGGCTGCCAATTTCCAAGGAAAGGTCGGTAGGTGGTCCATGGCAGATGACAACTTTCATTTCCACTGCCTTGACCACAATTAGTTCGAAGTTGCTGCTGATGCACCATGTGGCAAGAAAACACACTTCTCTGTAATAGATCTCATCATATTTGGAAATGAGTCCATTGTGTAATCTGCAAACATTAAGATTTTGATGGACTTGTCTGCAGAGGTACTGTAGTCATTTGGGTACAGTGAAAACAGGAGGGGTGAGAATTTTGACAACAGACCACAAATAATTCTGGTAAGTTCACACATACTGGGATCCTGTGTTGATGGCATTAGGGTTAGATTGTTCAGTGCCCAGCCTTACATGCTGCTTCTTCACTGTCAGGACTGACTGTCCTGATTGTCAGGAAGCTGATAATCCACTGACAGGTCCCTACAGGTACAGCTAGCTGAGTCAGCTTGCTGTGGAAAAGCGATGGGCTTCCTGTTGAGTCGGTCAGTCCAAGATCATATCTGTATGTCTGCATGATGTACAAATTAGGTTCAGAACTTGGACATCTGACTGCGACCCTTCTTGGATGTTGATGTGCAGTGCAATAGTTGGACATCTAGCTAGGACATTTTTAGACATCTGTAGAAGTACAGGGTTGAGTGGTGGCTCTGAAGCTAGGGATCTGTTTCAGTAACTGGAAGATTGCTGGTTCAAATCCTGTGAATGCCCAGAGTGATTCTACTCCATTAGGCCCTTGAGCAAGGCCCTTAACTGCAATTGCTTCATCCTGGGTATGATGTTATTCTACATCCAGCACTATAAGGAGGTTCTCCAACTTACAGGAAAAACCTTGGGGGTTGGTTGTAGGATTGGCACTCCAGCCACTGGAAAAAAAACTCACACTGGTCAATTTGGACTAGTTGGTGCATGGCAGCACTCAGGTTCTCATCCCTGAGGTGGTTTGTCGTGTGGTGGGAACAGCAATGCACTGTAACCAGTGCATGCTCCTTACCTGTGGAAGTGCAAGACAGGTATAACATTGGTCATTGGATGTTCAGAAGACATCATCAAAACTGTCTCTTCTTTTCAACATCAAAAAAGACATTAAAAAAATTGTATTTTGGACACATATTTGCTAAGTGGGTAGGAACCCACTAAATTGATGAATTAGGGTTACCACTCTGTCATAGATAAAAATGTCTAAGTCCATAGAAAACACTGTGCTTTTAATAACACCCCAAATGACTTTAGTCACAAAAGCACTGCATCAATAAAGAGAGAGGCATCTCACCGCTGCTTTGTGCCCAGTTCACAACTGTTGCAAGTACTCCATTCCGCAAATGCTTATGTAAGTCAAATATTGATAGTAATGATGACAAATCTTTTATTTGCCATTTGCTTCTCCCTGCCTACTGCATCTCACTCTCCATTGTTTGGGGGTCAGCCAGCATGCAGCGGCCCTTGATAAAGGATTCACAGACATGAGACTGTCTCGCCGAGGCTGGGGCTCAGATCATCTGATCACTGGGACAGTAACTTAGCCAGCTGCATAAATCTGATTCCATTTAAGACATCTTATAGCAAAAAGACCACACACAAACCAAAAATATACTAGCAATACGTACTAAAGAACACATATTAAATAAATTAAAGGATAAAGTGTAAATCTAGGCTACGTTTCTTGCCTTTTTATGTTAGCACTTCCGTGGGCTTGCATATTTCTTGCATAGATACAAAAGTTTTAATGCATTGTGACTATCCTTGCATTAATGCATATGCAAATAGCCATGATTAAAATAAAAACAGCCTCCTTTTCCTAAATATTGCACAAATTAAATGTGAGGTTGTTAAAGCCCACCACTTTGGACTTGGGTTGCTTGGATTACATACACCGGTGTATGAATGTGTGTATGGATGGGTGAATGTGAGGCATAAATTGTAAAGCGCTTTGAGTACTCGTAGGAGTAGAAAAGTGCTATATAAATGCAGTCCATTTAGATACACCAGGTCACCTAAACAGCATGCGCTGGCAGGAAGGCCCAGCATCTGGAAGAATCCCTCCTGAAAATGGGGGAACATGCAGATTTTACAAGTATGAGGCCACAGTGCATGCCCCTCTACGCTGCCCTCAGTACTTGCCCTAGCCATTGTAGGCGAGCATCACTGCCAGCACCCGCTGTGACATTGGCTGGAAAATCAGTGCCACCTCAGAAGTTGACAGCTTATGTTGCTTACAGGACTGACCTGCCATGCCTGCCCTAATGCAATCAGATGAATTTCAAATATTTATAGAAGACTAATGATAACAATATGTTTCATACTTGACTAAACTTGTATTACACTTTGGAATATAATTGATTTTGCCTAGAAACAAAAATTGCCTCTAGGCTATAGAGATCCCTCATGAGAAAATCCATCCATCCATTTTCTTAAACAACTTTCTTAAACCTGTTCAGGGTCATGGGGGTCCAGAGCCTAGGGCACAAGGTAGGGAACGACAGAGGATAGGGTGCGCCAACCCATTGCAGGGCACACTCACACACCTAAGGGCAATTTGCTAACTCCAATCAGCCTCAGCATGCTTTTGGACTGTAATGGGAAACCAGAGTACCAGGAGGGGGCGACACGGCGAGAACTCCACACACATGAAATTCTGGCAAAGACTCAAACCCAGGTCCCAGAGGTGGGATGCAACAGTGCTAACCACCATTCCACCCTCGCGAAAAACATCACCCGAGAAATTCCATTTTGATCGTAGGTCTAATCATAATTGTACGGCAGTCGATTATTCTGCACTTGATTTGAAAAGTCAAAAAATATATAGGTCTACCAACGTGGCATTACACGTTAGTCAGCGGTCCCAAAACCAGTCTCTCTTGCGGCTCTCCCTTTGAAGGGTGCTATATTTTAATTAACGTCAAGGTGACGATAGGTGGCGATATACACCTTATTGAAGTCCACGTACAAAGCGAGGCTTCGCAATATAAAAGACCGACAACCAGGGTAAAGAACAGAATAACATATCATCAAGAATCCGTTTCCCGATATTTATGTGAATACTTAATCCTGTTTGGCTTTGTCAAGATATTGAATGGGCTGACATAGCCTAAATTTCAAACTGATAGATAAAACATGCAAATTGAAGTTTTCTTTGTATTCGGATATTGGAAGGGATTTTGGGTTTTAGCTATATAGGCTACGTATAGCCCACGATTTTGTCAGAGACGCAAAGAGTATATTTAATTTATGACCAAGTTAATAAATAATTTGGATTTAAATAGAGTACCATATAGAAGATATGCTACATAAAAAACAGCGTAACAGAGCTTTCACTACAAGTTACTGTTTAATCAATTAACGGAAACCTATATATAATGAAATGCTTTAATTATAAACAAATATCTATTCGTTTTTACAAAATATTGAAATACTTTCATAAAACGTTTAGAAACATGATAATCCTACTTTATCCGAAACGGGTAAACAGCCTAAAAACAGCCAGTGTGATATTGAGACGATAATTAATACAAGCAAGCTTCACTGACGAGAAGCAGTTTAATTTGTGCCTATTACATATAGCGGTTCCCTGCACATGTGCCTGGGTAACGCTACCATGGTGCTGAACTCCAGTAGCCTATCTGCGAACACACTGTAACCTGTTACACGCAAAGAAATTATTCAAATTATTATTATTATTATTTGTGTTATTGAAGATTTCCGTGGTGGTAAACTGGTGTCATTCAATGTTCCTTGTCCATCGAATCACATCCAGCTGTAAATTGCATAGACTTGCGTTGGATAGACGAAATCAACGAAGGAAGATGCATTTTCAGAGGCAATTCAGGTAGACTAGTGCCTTCCTACTGTGTCTATGCCTATTCCCCTGTCCAAGATTAAATGCCCCTGCTACGTACCACTTGCACATATTGGTTTATAAAATGATATAATATGTGGCAGCGTTTTAGCAGTACGAGGGACCAGGCTGAGTCTACAAGTCAATCTGAGCCCCTGACTAGCTGACGTCAGCGTCAGGCTATTCTGGCTGCACACTCCTCTTCTCGGAAAGTCTTTCCACCCTCCCCAGCCCCTCGCCCAAGCCAGCACCGATTGCAACTACCAAGGAATCTGGTTTTATTAACTACACGGCGCCCCCCTCCCCAGTTGTTCGATACAATACAACAGTCACGATTATATGTAGAACATCAGCGACCTCCCTAGTGCGCACTATCGACAAAGGCGCCCCTGTGTCTGGCCTGATCACCATCTCGTCCGTCCCGTCCACTCTGATCACTCCCACATGAATCCCATGATCCCAGGATTTTTCCTCGCGAACTGGAACACCATACTTCCGGTTACGAAGAACAGTCCCTCCTCTTTGCCCTTGTTTTTTTCCTCTGCAAATTCATGACGTTCAGTAAATGTGCGTTTGGTCCGGGCGAACTCCTTCTACTGTTCGGCTGTTGAGATTATCAGTGCTGTTTATTTAGTAGAGATTTGTGGAATTTGGTTCATCGGAAAACGGAGGAGCCCAGCGATCGGAGACCGTAGGTATTACGCTCTGCAAATCCAGCCTAGTTAGAAGTCGGTCCCACCATCCCGTTCAGCGTCGGATATCCCAGCTACAGTTATTTTATCCTGTAGCCAAGTTAACCAGATATAACTATTGCAGTGAGATTCGTTTGCATATATATCTGTCTGTGTTTTTAAAATTTTAATATTGTATTTAATAGTTTGCTGGCTTTCAGACTGAACCCTAAGAAGCCTTAGTGAAAAAGCCAAAGACTGTCATGACTATGGAAATGTGTCTTAATTTTTAAGGGAACCAGAGTTAGGCAGCTAATATTCCTGTAAATATAGCATTAACAAACTGACTGTTAGGGTTTTTTTATTTTTAAAAATGACAATTCTATACAATTTTGGTAATGATTAACTTGCACTATATCTTTTTATTTCTTTGGAAATGGCATTGATTGAATAACGTTTGCACCCCTGAGTGGTGTAGGCCTATACTGAGTTTTCAGATTAAAACTGAAAAACAGTGACATTTTATTTTTTAAAATACTGACGATGAATTTATCATTTTAACATACTTTTAACTGAAATGGTCACAAGTTACAGAACGACGGCGACAGCAATTATATAACGATGAAAGTGTGATAAGCACTTGAATTATTAGCAAAGATTTTTAAAAGTGGGAATCGCTTATACACCCTGAGATTAAAAGTTTGTAATCGTTTGGCTAATTCGGTCCGTGGTGCCTCGGAACAGGTGACGGGACGTTTGGGCCGCAGTCTAGGTGCACATTGGACGGACTTTAGTGTGCTCTTTTAAATACATACTCATACATGCGTACAGAATTAATATTTCACAGCAAATTTCACAGTAGATGGTGAGTTGGAGTAATGGTAGCAAAAAGTATTTTTTTCCGTAGAATGAGTGACATTATTAATATGCCTTTACTAATTCAGCTGCATTTGTTCTGTTTTCACGACTTTTTCCACGAATTTTGTCAGCCCCCCCCCCCCGCTCATTTGGACCCGTTTAGTCGCCGTTCGCATTGTGCCTGCAGCCCGCCTTAGTAATTCACTGACTTCATGCCCAACTATCTGCGTAAAAACGATATTAAGTCTCGCACTCCTAACCCCAGGGTCAGCTGCTTTATTTCTCAAACTAGAAGGTATGCATGCATTTTTAAATGTTTGTTGTCTTCATAGCATATAACTTGGAATCTGCGAATTCCCACAGTTCTAGCAGTGTCGCAGTGTACAATGGCACTCTGTGGCTCCATTACCTTTTGTTATAAAACTGGTTTATGATTCATACATAGGTCTAGAAGTGTTTTTTCCATACCTGACACATTTGGAGGATTATGCCAGAAATAGTTTTGATTACATTTGCTTGCTTTTTGGTAACTTTAATTTCAAACTACATTGATTTTTTGGATCGGGACACCTGTCAGAAAAGTACTTTTTGTCGCTTTCACTTGAGCCTCACGACTAAAACTACGGCCGAAAATGCATTTTTAAACTATTCTCTGTGCAATGAAGAATTACAGAAGTGTCCTTTCGTATTTGTAGTTTTTATGTGTTCCAGGTTAATTTGGAGGCACTTGTGATGTTGGTGAGAACGGCTATACGTTTATTGCTTTGAGTACCAGTGGTCGCTGATTGAGAAGAAATCGGAGCAAACTTCTAGGTATCAACAGCCTTGAGTAAGCGATTCCAGCGAATGCAAAACAAAAAATTGAATCGAGGAAGTCATAGCGAGTGGACGGAAATGCCAGATAAAATGGTTAAAATAAAGTGCTTGCAGGTGATTGTCACAGTGTGGCACCAATAGGCCTTTTGTCACATACGTTATAGCTTCAAGCAGGAGCGATTCTGGTATTTGACACTCGGTGGGTGGGTGAGGCACACTGAAGAAACATTGTACACCACTCCCCCTCCCCCAGGTCCCCTACAATACTTTGCTGAGGGGGGTGGGTTATGAAATGTATATGGAAATATGGGACAAATCGCTAAATGGTTACAGGAAAAATAATTTTAACAAGAACAGAGGAGCCCCTATGGTTTCAAAGGAAATGCGGATGTTGGGTGTTGTTCTCCACAGCAGCCTTGTGCTGTTCTTGGCCTGGTCTGTCATTCGGTGTTAAAGGGCAGCGCTGCTTGCTGCTCTCAGCTGCCCTCTGTTCTTTCTCTTGAATCCCACAATCCTACTGCGTAGGAAACACGTTTCCTGTATCTATACATTGACTTCTGTAACTTCTCTTCTGCATCTGGATGCCTCTGGCAAGGATGTAACATACTGTTTGGCTCCGGCTAGTAGTTTAAATTTGGATTCCAGCGTGCAATTTCCATATGGTACAACAAAATGTACTAGTAATTATTACTACATCTGTTTCAAAAACGATTTTTAAATAGTGCTACATCATATTTTCAGTCCATGACCATTGCAAGTATCTGACATCATCAGCTAAAGTACTTTTCTTTCTGATAATCTCTCAAAGTACTCAGTGTTTTATCACTTTAATTGCATTACATTCTTAATTTATATGAGTGGATATCATACTTAACTATAGTAATGTACATTTCCTCAGAAATTCCTGGTCTGTTTAATGTCTAGCCTTCTGGTGACAAGTCTAGTTTAAACTGCGTACTTTTGCAATGTGTCCATTTCTCGTGTAGGTGGTGAGCTTTCCTCAGCTCCAATAGTCTAGCAGTCTAAAAATGGAGTCGTGTGGCTTTCGTTATTGACACTTTCCAAAAGTCATAGCGGTAAAGCTTTGGTCTCAATGCACAGGGTGCCGTAAGGGGAAAGAGGAGATGCCATTGATTGATTTGTTACATGGCTTTCCCAGAATCATCACCATTGGTACACAAAGAGTATTGTTTATAATATGAACAGTGGGTGAACCCATTATGATGATAGAATTTTCTGATGATATGCTTTTTATGCTTCTAAAATGTTTCATCACGTCAGGATTTGTTTGGTTGTTCTTGGGTGTTCCAGAAGTTATTCTGACAACCCATACCATGTGAAAATCTTATGTATAATTATGCTTTTCTGTGTTTTTATGTACATGTTGCATTATCTCTTAGCTTTCTATCATGGGCTGGAATGCTTTTGTTTTGGTTTGTACTGCAGAAGCAAAGTGGCTGCCCTTTCAGGGCCATGATGGATACTTGTTTCCTGCCATGTTGAATCAGTCAAATTTTATCACTAACATGGGGGGGGGGGGGCTGGTTGGTGGATGTTGCAGGAAGAACATATGATTTTTTCCTTCCTGTTTTATTAATGTCCATGGCTGCATATTTACTTTTTGTGTAACACTGCAGGCCTTTGGTATCTTTGTGTGAATATCCAGACCTGTGGCCTGTACTATGAAGCGGAGTTACTGGCTTATTGGGGTAACTTGTCGGATTTAAGGTACCACAGTTTAAATGGACTTCATATTCGTTCACTTACATTTTGCCCAGACTACCTTAAATCCGACAAGTTTCCCCGATCAGCTTGTAACCCCACTTCATAGTACAGGCCCCAGAACACTCTGGCTTTGCAATAAAATGATCAACATCGCCAACGTTTGTATTCCGGGCGTCTGAATCCCCTCTAGGTCCTGGATGACCAAACAGCTGTCCGCTTGTCCGATACTCTTTATCTATGGTCAGCTGTACGTTAATAATAACATCATGAAGTGCTTCAGAAACGTTAGGAAACCCACAGAGCTGAACCTGTTTCTCATCCTTCACTAAAACTGCTTTACTGTTTTTTTGGTTTTTTTTTTTGGTATGTTTTGTTTGTCTGCCAGTGTGACAGCACGGTCATTTTCCAGCCAGCAACAATGTTCCCATACAAGAGACGATGACGGATATTGGATTGCGTTTGTTTACTGGGACAGCTTCATTAGCACGCATAATAAGCCTAAGGCAAGTAAAGAATTCCCTCAGGCAGAATTCCACTCGGCAATATTCACTTGAATTATCGCCCCCTTTTGCTATTCTCCATTCTGTCGGAACATTAGCTTGGCTGCCGTTCCAACCTTTTGCCCCAGGGGCAACGTTCCATTGCAGGATGTGACTCTCCTTCCGTCCTCTTCGTTACTGACCAGCTGCTTGAATTTCGGCCAACGCTGTGTTTACTCAGGCAATTTTTTCTGTTAGTACAAACAGAAATCTATTTTGAAGAGTATTTGAGTTAGATCTAACAGGACCATAAAAAGGCTGAAATAAAGAGCGGGACTTGCGTATTTAGACAAGTTATCATGCCGGTAGTATTGTCTGCATCCAGAAACCCCTGAAGATGAATGGAACTTGATGCTTTTTGCATATTGGTAGCGTGTGGCTCAGTGGGCTAAGCCTGTGTGCCTGTAATTAGAAGGTCACCGGTTCAAACCCAGCCTTAGCACGTATGCAGGTCCTTGAGCAAGGCCCTCAACCCTACAGGTGGCTGCCCTTTGTGGACAGCTTACTCTACAAAGAGCAAGGTGAGGGAGGCGTAAAAAAGAATTTCCCCAAGGGGACAATAAAGGATCTATTATTATTGTGCTGTGACTGTGTGTGCTTCTCAGGAGAGATTCTATTGGTAATTGTATGCTGCATAGAGATCTGCCCATCTCATGACAAGGTAGGGACCCGTCCGCATTTTGGTTTACCACCCCACTAGTGCCTTGTGCTTGTTTCCCATCAGTCCTTAAATGCTTAGTCTAGAAACAGTTGTACTGGTGGATCTGGCATCTAAATGCTGGTTACGTTTTATCCGGCTATTTGGACAAAAGCTACATTTTCTTTAAATGGGTTTATCTTGTGCAATAAGTTCAGTTAGTGTTATTTAATACAGTATTTATTCAAGGAATGGTAATTCTCTTTGCTGCTCCCTTGATCTGTATAAAGTGTGTGTGTGTGCGCCCTTTCTGTCCCTGTGTGTGTGTGTGCCATTTCTGTCCGTGTGTGTGTGTGTGTGTGTGTGCGCGTGCGTGCTGTTCCTGCAGCTCCAGTCTTAGAGAGAAGAGACAATTACATATTAGGGAAATGAATCAGATAAGATCAGAATCTCTCCGTCTTTAAATTTCTTATTTGGCAGGGAAGAGATCTGGGAAGAATGAGATGTCTACAAACATCACTGATTTTTACGCTCATTCGAAATGTCCCAATAAATATCTTATTAAATTGCTATTTACTGTTCCAGCTCAAAATTGTTTTCCGAGCTGACTTATCTATAGCCAAACTGTCCAAAATTTACTATATCATCATATCAGTCCAAACTGAGAAATGCACGGTGAATACTCCCTCGCTGCTTTACACGCACTGTATGTCCCAGCTTGGAGAATTCGTGGAGGGAATCATCTCAAATCAATGTCTCTGCTGGCCAGGCATGCCGCTGATAACAGATGGAGGGATGATGCTCCACCCATCCACCCCCAATGGCTGAGCGATCTAATGTCCTCTTTAAAACCGGAAAAAATAAGGTACTCGGTCCGTGGGACTGTGTATAAATTTGACAGAGTATGGGCTCCCTTTCTAACACACTGTCATAATTTGGATGTGCCCCTGCCCTTGACATTTAATAATTGATAATTATAAGATAATTATCTTAGTTCTCTGTGTGTAATGGTGGCAGCCCTTAGATGTACTTATTGTTTTCAGTCTCTTTGTATAGACTGTTTTATTTGTTTATTCTCTCTGGTATTGTTCAATGTGTCTGTCAGCAAAAACTCTGTCAGAGCTAGCTGAAGGGGGGTGTGGTAGGGCTGAGTGTTCCGTACTTTGGGGAATTTTTCTAACATTTAAGCTTAGTTTAGTTTAAGCATCTTACATCATTTTAACTGCCCATTAATGTTAGTTCCAGCTTTTCTTCCCTACACAGTGCCTGAGCACTGATTCCTAAACAGAATGGCGTTTCCCCCTCCCAGATAACGTGACACTTACTCTGAACAGAAGCCCTCTTTGTTCTCACAATGGCGATTCCCTGCCCACTAGGCTTCACTTCTAAACAAAACATGAAGCTGTTTTTATTTCATTTTAGAAGCCTGTTGGCTTTGGTTCGAGTATCTCCAACAGGTTGTATACTGTATGTAACAAACAGCAATTTATAATTCATGAATTAGAGCTTGAAAACAAGACATGGAAAGACGACCATGGTAATACCTTTCCAAGGTTTAGACATTGTCGAGCGACACCCTATTTCAAATTTGAGTCAGGTTATGTTCACCTTAATCTGCATCGGATCAGTAAATTCAATCAGCCCAACAGTTGATTTTCAGTGGTTGCTTTTGTGTTTTTCTGGAAGCCTTAATGGTTAAATTGAAGCTGTGTGTCAACAGGAAGTCATCTTGACCCCTTCTTCTGCTCCCAGACTGGGAAAATGGTGTTTTCTGCTCACCAGCTGTACCGACAGGGGTCCGTAGCTGAGCCTCAGTCGCGAAGCGTGCCAAATGGCGGAGCTGGCCGGGCTGCTGCTGGGATCTGTGTGGTGCCGGACCGGGCCGGAATTACCATCCGTGTGCCCCGACCACTCCGACTCTCGAGCTGACACCTTTCTGCCTGCTGCTGGAGGGACAGCAGATGCTTTTGTCCAAACAAAACGGATAAATTGGAAACAGGACAAGAAGTGTTACTGTTCGGAGAAGGGGGAATTTTCAGTGCAGAATTTGATTCACTTGCTCTGCTCTCCTGGCCGTTTGCCTGGTATGGTTGTCAAGGTCTGTTTTTTTTTTCTTTTTCCCCTGTTGTTGAAAGACTGGATGGTACATGCCTAGAATGTGGGAACAAAAGAGCGTGCCCTTAGGAAAGGCCCGGCCTCGTAAACGAGTCCCCCCCCCGCAGCCCTGTCCCTAAGGCCGCCCCCGCTTCGTAAGGCTTGGCATGTCTAAACACACCGCCTCCGCGTCTCGCACAGTGAAGCCATTGAACTCCAGACTCTGTCAGTTTCGTTATGAGCCTGCGGATGTTTCCTTACAAATGGTATCCATACGACAAAAAAAAAGTCTTAAATAACAAATTCAAAGAGGACAAAAATGCCTTTTTAGTAAAGCGGTACTGCACAATTCTGTAGTGTACTTATGTAGAGTATATTTCTGAGAAACGGCTGTTTGTCAGTTATGGAGCTTTAACCCTTTGACTGTCTGGCCCGCAGGTGTCTTGAAAGTGTTTTAGCAGTCTGAAAGCTGGCGTCATTCTGGCCTGGTCTGTATCAGTGGCCTGGTTAGTTAGATACACTTTTGCCTTTCATTACAATCAATGAAATTTTGTCCGTCCACCCCATTAATCTTCCAATCACTTACCTTAGTCTCGGAGATTTGGGGGTGGGGGGGGGGGTGAATGCTGTCCCAGGTGGCAGTATATTGGCGTGTTTATTCCACAGAGGACAGTAATAAGATGTTTAGCTTTCTGGTAAATGTTTGCTGTAATACTCCAAGTGCATAACTGAGTCTGAGTCTGCAAAATGTATCCCGGTTTGTAACAGCATGGTTTTAACACTGTATTTGGTTTGTCAATTTGAAGTGGCTTATCTGCCAAATTATTTGTTTATGCAAGTAGGATTACATAACTTGTCAGGCACTTGTCTATGAATGGCTGTCATTTCAGAAGATTCTGGCGATTACTTCTGTTTTTTGGGTAAACAAAAAGGAAGATAACGTCTCCCTGGAGTGGAAACTCTGGGTTTGGGATTTCCGCTGCTTTGAAGTGCCACTTAAAATGCTTGATATGCACCAAGCACTGAAAAACCCGGAATTCTTTTTTATGGAAAAGTTATGTCACTACCCTTGTCCCTACACTCTTATGGTTTGCACCAAGGGGGGAGGTGCTGAAGCGGCCAAGCGGCCTGTTTTGACTCGTTGGCATTTAGGTATGTTTTCTGTTTCTTTTTATGGGTCTGTTCCCATCGGCAGCCCTGCTAGAGCACGTTTGGACTTGCTAAGGCTATCACCATGTTTGTAAAACTGCAAGACGCATTTCTCCTCACTGCAGATCTGGGTTAACAGTTTGCACCTTCTGTAGGTGAAAAACTTCTTTTTTTGTGAACTTGTACCAATGGTGTTATTTTGAGATATAGGTCAGTCAGGCGGCGTCCGCAGCCTTCAAATTCGAACCCACTTTGTTTGTTTGTGACTCGTTAAGACATCGTAATGTAACTGATGCATTGCATGGAAGGATCAGAATCCAGTTTGAATCTGGATTTTTATTTGGTTCAATGGTGCACACCTGTTGGTAAAGTTGAGCATGGTGTCTTAACCCCCTAAATATGATTTATTGACGATCCTTTGGTCTGGGTTGGTGAGCCTGGATAGGTCAGTCTGTAGAGCTTTGGGCTTTAAGTCTCTGTTCGGGCAATGCTACTCATGAATTTACGCTTAGGATCCGTAAAGTGCATCTTACTGCTGACTCTTGTAGCTCCACAAGTAGAACATTAGCCTAAGGATACAAAGGTCATGTGTTCAAATCCCAGGGACCACTCACAGATTTTAACCCTTCTCTCTACTGTAAGTTGCTTTGGGTAAAAGTGTCCGATAACTGTATTGATTGCCTTGCAGGTAGAAGCTCTCCAAATTGCCCCGGAATGTTCTTGCTGCTGTCACTGCGACCTCTGTGACTCGGAGCTCCACTGCAGTGCTTCCTTCAGGATTTCAACATGCGCAATTTTCTGCTCTGGGTTCTTTTTATGACCCTATTGACCAGAAAAGGCTACTGTCAAAGTAAGTCCTCCACATGTCAGCCAAGCCTTCTTAGATGAGACTGGCTGGAATTCTAAACTTGGGAATTTCACAGGTAGCTGTCCAGCTGTTGAATGGCTCTGGTTGGAGCTTATACCTTCTGTACCTTACCTCTGTTTGTCTCCAGGTCCCCACTATCCCGCCCCAAAGATCGTGGGGTTGGGTCACAACTTCTCATCTCAGTCACTAACTGTCACTTGGGAAAATGACCTTTCTTCCACTGTACACTTCTTTGATGTTGAGGTCCTTCGCACGGAGACGAAGGAAACTGTGCATTCTGTAAGTTTTTGATGTACCTCCTCACTTGTGTCTACGCTGTCGTTTTTGTTGCAGGACCCCTGAATATAATGATGGATACAAAATGTCCTTAATGTTACAGTCTTTGCTTTAGTCAACTTTGTATTTTGTCCTTTCAACATTTCTTTAATATAGGCCAAAATAGGAGGCACACATCTGGAACCAGCACATTTACTTTGGACTGTCCTTTGAATGTCTTAGTGTTTCTCAGTAGCTTATATCGTGCAAGAAGTGGTTCTGTGGATCCACTATAATAACAGGCTATACCCACCATAATAACAGGCTTAAAGTGAATGGTAAAAATAATGCGTGGATCAGAAAATGTCAGCTAATTTAAGTCAATAAAATAGTGAAAAATGATAATGATTAGTGATTTATTTTTGTTACAGGTAGCCACAAAAATTATTCGCAATTCATTGAGATGTAAAAGTGTAATTATTAGGGTTGGGGGGGGGGACAGTTGTTACAAATCGCGGTTCTCGAAGGTGGCCATTTTAATATTGCTGTGAGAGTGCTGTGTGATTTCTGAACATCTGTTTAAACATGGGTTACTGAAATTATTGTTTGCATTTGGTGCTGCTAATATTATTCTAGTTGCACACAGCCTAATTTTGTTTTGTTAAGGCCTGACATGCACGCACGTCTCTGTCAGGGTGCCATCTTGAATGAGTAACGCCAGTACAGAGACTTTTCCAGCGTCTCAATTTAAAGCCGCAACTGCAAGTGTGTGAAATGTAAACTTTCATTGAATATCTTTATATCACTTCCCTGTACATTTAAAAAGTTTCTAATTAAATCCAAACTATTTACAGCTTTTTTTTTTAAACTCCTCCCTTGGGTTTCTTCTCACCCCGTGTCTTGCGCTCTCATTGGCTGTAGCTTGTCACTGCACTCATTGTCAAGATACTTAGCCTGCTAGATATCTGACGGGTGTTGGTGTAGCATCGGCGACTGCGTCCAGTCTCATCTCTGAACTAAAGGCTGATTTGTGGAAAGGCTACGCCGTGACTGAGGCAGCTAGCCTATGCTGTTACCAACATTTGAGCATGTGTGTTGATCACCACCAAAACACTAGGTGATACAGTTTTGGATTTTGCATTTGTCTTCTGACTCTGTGTGATTGTTGAATCACGCAACAGAAACAAAAAAAAAAAAACGAACATTTAACAAAGTATCCATTTATTGAGTCATGGTTATATTTGTGCTCCTCCAAACTTCCCATAGACGAATTTGGAAAAATGTCGAACCGCTGCAAAGTCACGTTCTATGCATTTTGGCTTCTGAAGTTATTAATGATGTTGATTTGATGGAGAGGTATAAATCAGCCTTTAAAGCAATCGAGGGCCGATTTGCCAGCATCAAGGGAACACCAGTGCGCCTCCGATCTGGGGCTTTTGTTGGCGAATGGCAAAAACCTTTGGCCAGCGGCAAATGGGGGCAAAAATCGTGTAGCATGACCTTGGCATTTTTTTTCTGTATTTTTTTTAAGCCCGGTCAAAAGCACACACTTGGATGAAGGTGTCTGAAATGAGTTAGCATGTTTGGCGTTTACAGATAAATATCGGAGTCCTGCATAACACAGCCAGCAGACATTTGTAGACTTATCAATTACTCTCTCTGGTGTTGACATAATTTATTGGGAGGGCAAAATGTTCCCAGACTACTGATTTAAGTAACGTGGGAGGTCTTTGAGCTCTCCAGCACTAGCTGTAACAAACTCAAAGCCACAATTAGCAAAATGTTTTCCATGTGGAACATCTACTTGTGAATTTAGGTAGCACCCGTGTCAAGAAATGTATGCGTGTTTGTACTGACTGCCTGTTTTTTCATTGCGTGTTCCAAACTGAAAGTGCAGTAAACGAAACAAATGCATTTACCTTATCTTTACTTTAATTGCAGACCTGAAATTCTTTTCAGTAAAACCTGTTTAAATATTATGATGCATGGAATCGGCAAACATATATTAATGTAATATCTATTTGGGCGGTCACTGCCAATTCCCACCCCTGGTAATTATTAATAAACATAGTAAAGTAGGTTTTAGGTTTGAATGTGTGAATGTTTTAGGCTTGAGAAATCC